TAGTTAACAGCTAAACATGGCAGAACCTGCGATTGGCCAAGAAGAGAATTTCATCTTGTCCACGTTTCATGGTGTATGGTTGAACCGATGCTTGAGCCTTGTAGTGGGCTTCAAGATTCCTGACCTACTCTGCAACACCGACAAGCCGTCTGTGAGCATCGAGGACATAGCTGCTAAAACAGGATGTTCTTCTTCTGAGAAAATTTACTTGATCATGCGCTTACTCGCTCAATGGGGAATAGGCAAAGAACTTGAAAACAGACACTTTGCCAAGAACAGAGCAATGGAGCTCCTAAGGATGGACCAGGGACCAAGTTTTGGACACTTCTTAAGCAGCTATTCTAGTGAGGAGTATTTGATGGGCTTGCTATCCTTGCCAGAAGCCGTAAGGTCCAACCAGTCAGCTTTCTTCCTTGCGCACGGAATGAAAGATTTCTATGAATACATGAATCAGATTGATGACTCTCCWTACGACAAGTCCAAGCAGTTCAGAGGTTCGTCGACCGTGATGATTGGAAGCGACGAGAGAAGGCGAGAGTTCGCTGACTACTTCAACAAAGGACAAGCCATGCGGGTAAAACTCCTTCTTTTACCAGAAGTCAAAGGAATACCAACCGTATATAACGTCTATCCATGGTCCACTTGTAAAAGATTACTAGACGCAGGAGGTTCAACTGGCTCGTTTCTTGCCTCTATTCTTAAGCAGCCTGATTGCCAGGACATCCAGGGGTTTGTTGCAGACCTACCTGCCGTGGTAGACACTGCACTTCAGGAATACCACCAGCTTGGACTCCCAGAGAACCGTATCAAGTTCCTCAAGCACAATTTCTTTGAGCCTTATCCCAAAGATTTTCACGTTGACGCGATCGTTTTCAAGAATACCTTAGTCATTTTCAGTGTTCAGGAAAAGATCCAGATTATACGAAACTGCCGTTCTGTTCTACATGAAGGAGGGAAAGTTCTTGTCTTGACACTTTGTGTGAACGACGCGGGTGTCTTGCATAAGAACGTTGGGATTAATGGGATTCAACATGGCGTTCACGCAGTTCTAACGTCCAACTTCTTGAACGGCGTTTACAAAACAAGAAGCGAGTCAGAAAAGGATTTCAGGGAAATTGGGAATCAAGCGGGCTTTAAACTCTCCAACATCTATGAAACGTTCCTTGGTGGAATCACAATCTTCGAACTTTCAGCCATTTAACAAACACTGAATGCATAACAAAAGAACCAGGCATGTACAATAGATACTGTTCCTTATATACAAGATTCTTTTAATATTGTTTATATACACCTAATTGAAAAAACGTAGTCGGGTTTGAGAAAGTCATATCATCGAAGCTAAGACCGACTAAAGGGTTTTGGGTACTCCGTAATGGGACGAATTACATTTGCATATAGACATGTAAAAATGCACAGTAGAGCAAAGTCAGTCGACCTAGATTAACAACATGCCGAAGCCATGATGCATAAAATGTGCACAGGAAGGAAAAACTGCAATACGCATGAAATTAGCATAATTGTTTGTCTTCCCATGCTCCCCTTCGGTCTTAGCTTTGTGGCTACTGGCGTTTTTGTGGCTACTGCTTCGATAGAAGCGTAGCCATAATGTCATC